TGGTCAGTTGTTTATAAAGTTGAAAAGGGGTCTAGATTTACCTGCTATGGATCCGTGGGTAGGTTCTGTGTTGAAAACTGGATGAGCAGTGTTTCTCTATTTCACAATTTCATTAATACTTTTGTATTATTTGGTTTGCCTTTAGGGAACAAGTGATCCTTACGTGGTTATGCAATTGGATGGTCAGGTTGTCAAAAGCAAGATCAAGTGGGGGTAAATTGCTGTGTTTTTCATACTGTTGAAGTAAAATAACAGATAGTTTCGTAAATATTAATTTCTTTTATGGCTAACCACCTTACTGATTCAACCTGTCATGATGCTAAGAACATGTCAATTTTCTAATACAAATTTGAGTCTGCATCAACCAAATAAGGGCACGGTGGATAATTGCAACTTTATTTGGTTTAGAATTATGGATGGTTGGAAAAGTAGGGACTTGTTTTGTCACATAGAAAAGACTATTTTAAAATCAAATGTAACTGAAGAATGTTTAAAGTTCTGTGGTATCTTGAGAGGAAGCATTTAAGAGTGAAAGCTTTTTCTTCCTTAAATGGCTTGTAAATGCTTACTTTAACATTGCTTTGCAATTAGAACATTTTTCAGAAATGAGATTTTCAACAATCGGATTATTATCTTCTGGAATTGCGATTGTATTCCATATTTTCTTTATCTGAAATTCTTAGTCATTCATTTGAAGTGGTTCCAGTGATTTAATATGTTTTGCTTATTTTTCATTTAATGATGTCTTAAGATAAATATTATATTTTACATTTAACAGTTGCCATATTTCACCAAAGCTTAAATGATGGCCATTTCTTTATGAGATCTTTCTCCGGGAACTTGTTTGTTTGATGGCTGGCGGTTAACTTCTAGACTTGGAAAACTTATCAAACCATTTTATAAAACAACCTAGCTATTTATTAGCCTTTTCAAGCTAGCTAGCCCTGCTGTGAAACAAGTGTACTATTATTCTAGAGTTCAAGATTTTATCAACTATATATTTTATGTTTGGATGCAGCACTTGTATTCATCTCCTTATAAGTGTCTTGATGATGCCAGGAAAAGGGAGCCAACATGGAATGAGGATTTTACTTTCAATGTTAAACTGTCACCCACCAAAAACATTCAGGTCTAGATTCATTCTCTCAAAAGATTTATTTTTATTTATTCATATACTCTTTAGGCTAAAACATACTTTTAGCCTTTATCTTAATAAGTTTATAGGTTTTAGCCCCTCAACTTATACTATGACACTTTTAGCCCCTCACATATACGAATTGAAGAAAATAACCTTTACTTAAGGTCAAGTTATAATGTTTTATTAGTTCTGTTAGTTGACTGTTAACTCTGTTAGCTGACTGTTAACATTCTGTTAGCATTTTGTTAACGGAACTAACAAATAAAATTGAATTTAAATTTCATGTTTTCTATAATGGAATGCTAACGGATGCTAACAGTTAGCTAACAAAGTTAATAGTCAACTAATAGAAATAAGAGAACGTTATAACCTGATCTTAAGTGAGGGTTATTTTTTTCAATTCATATAGGTGAGGGGCTAAAACCTACAAACTTATTAAGGTAAAGGGTTAAAAGTAGGTTTTTGCCTTATTTTTCCAATAGGAAATGCTTGTCTACAATTTTGAAGTTCTCATATTTTATTGCATTATGGTCTTGATAAAAAAATGGCAGTACAATAGGTGAGATTAAACATTGTGATATATCACAGCAGATAACATATTTATTTTCTAGACTATCAACTTGGAAGCTGGAGCATTTGCACTTAAAAAAAAAAAAAAAAACTTGATGCATTTTAGGACATGAACTGGTTCAAAAGTGAGATAAGGATACATTTAACCCTTGTTTGGGGGGGGAGGGGGGGTCATGTATCTTGTATGATTATTACTTGTCATAAACATCAAACTTTTGATAGGAACAATTATTTATGGCTATTTAAAACTGATTGTTTAGTCCTTGAATCCACCTTCTTAAGTCATCTTTATCATTTCAATAAGAAATCCTGAAATAATCATTGAAAAAAAGAAGTATAAATCTCTGGTTAAGATTAATAATATCAATTTCAAAAGTTTTACAATGCCTGCTGTGTGCCTCCAAAAAATTCATTACCATGGCACTCATTACGTGGTATTAGCTGTTTCACTGCACTTTTGACTGTGATTGCATTTATGGCGAGTATTGCAACCTAATTTACTACGAGCAGCTACCTGAAAGGAGTATAGGATGAATGGTTGTTTAACAGCAACAATCCTGTTCCTTTCTTTAATTCTAGTAAGAGCCATTTGTTGTGAATAATTGTGTAGTTCTTAATTTCTTATCATGACTATTTTATCATTATGCTAGTTGCACACTTGCACTTCAAGTATTTTGTTTGATACCTCATAACTATATGAGGAAGTTATTTTGATCAGCTTGATGCAAAGAAATTATAGCTTTCTAAAAGATAAATTAGTTAATAAAGGAACCTTTTAATCATGGTCAAAGTATTTCTGGAATCTTTTAATGAATTAGGTTCACAATTTATGTTTTAAGTTTTCTAATGTGGCCCATCACAATTTTAGGTTGCTGCTTGGGACGCAAACGTTGTTACTCCACATAAGCGCATGGGGAATGCTGGCATTAGTCTGGAATGCCTATGTGATGGTGAGGGTGACATGGAATATTTAGATTGACTAACTAGGACCTTGATTACGTATCTAAGTTTTGTATGTTGACTTTACTGCACAACACATTTCTGTTGTTCGTTAATTACTACTTCTAATCCCATTATCTTCAAACTTATTAATGTCAAGATAGTAGTTTTTGATGCAAGGGTCACATATTTTTCAAAAGATTATCAATACAGAATATACAATCTTTGTCTTTAATTCCCAGGAAACTTGCATGAGGTGCTGGTGGAATTGGAAGGAATGGGAGGTGGTGGGAAGTTAGAGCTTGAGGTAAGTATTTTGGGCATTGTTACTATAATCCTTTGTTCCTCTCACTGTTAAAAGAATGCATGCCTTAATGAACTGATTATGTGAATGAAAGTCGCATTTTGGGGTTAAATAAATATTTCCACTGTAACTACCCTGGAAATTATATATATCTGTTAATGTGCCATTCTAGCATATGCAAGAAGTAAATTTCAGATTATTAGATCTGCATTGGAATGTAAAAGTTTGTTAGAAGGATTGGGCTATTTTAAAGTTTAGCCTCATTGGAAGGTCTTGAATTCCATAAATGTAGAATGTTGCTCTCTGGATCTTCTTTCTTCAAGAACATTCTACTTTTGACTCTTTTCTTTGATTTAGGTTGAGACAATGGAGATTAAATATAGAATATTAATTGTGTGATGACTCCAACATGATGGTCTACTTTTAGTTGTTGACATGAAATATTTTTGGTACTTTTTGGAAGTTCAGTTACATTGTTTGTTTTCCATCTATGTTTGGATAATTTTAGTTAACTATGTTGGAAGTCTCTATTAGATAATAATATTTAATAAGTAGCACCTGCTTCAAGTTTCATCATGTGGATACTACTTCTCACTGTTGATTGTGAAGCCTGTTTTTTGTTCCTCCCTGTTGTGAAGCCTGTTTTTTGTTCCTCCCTGTTGCTTCTATTGTTCAATAGACAGTTGATCTAAATGTGTTGCTTTTGGCTAAACATATGTCCCACCATTTCTTTGACTGGAATACCTCCATCCATGTGATAGAAGCCTGAAAAGATGTCTATATCTTAGCATTGCATTATGAATTTTGTTCCCTCTTGCCCTTTTACCTGGAAAATACTTTTACCTGGAAAATACTTTTACCATTTTACATATGGTTTTCAATGTGGATGAAGGGTTGGCTAGTGTAGATGCTTAGTGCTTCCAAGTGTCTTGTCAGGGGATCCTTTATTTTCAAGGTGATGACACTGTTGCTTCTCTTTGGTTCATTTCATTTTTTTTATCAGCAACTTTCGTTCATTTCATTGTTCCCCTATTTTTATTTTTTCTTGATGATTTGTTTTGTTCTAGTTTCCATTAATCTTAAATGAGTTAGAGCATTTAGTTAATACTTCAACTCTACTCTCTAGTATATTGTAGTTGATTTGATTTTTTTTCCTCTATGTTATGTGTCTACAGAAAGATTACCAGTCTTAAGTGGAAGGAGGCGATATGTGAAGAGAGGTCCCTAGTCAAGAATGGTAAATCTTTCTTGAAGTAACACGCTTGTCTAGTGTCAAGGGTAGCTTAAATTATAGGATAGGGAAGCAAATAGGGCAGATCTGATTGACAATGCTAATCTGAGGATAAAAGGAAGAAAATTTCTTCAAACCTACCAGGTTGTTAATGGAAGGACCTCTCCACTTCCCAAGAAAATCCCTTTATCTTTCTCTTGTTTAAGTTTCACCCACTCTACTTAAAAGCATTCCCAGTACAAGTGGAATAATGAGAAGTGGTCTGTCTGACAGTTTAGCTTCAAGTTTTATTGATGATGAAATGAGTGAATCAGGTATAAGAACTATAGATTCTGAAGAAATTTCTATCAGTTTTGTTTGAGTGAACAAGGTGATAGGGCTATGAATATTAAATAGATTATAGAGTCATAAAAATAGTTTAGTTGTTAAGATAATGATAGTTTGCTAACTTAATGTGATGAGAAGGTAGATATAATAACCTAGAAAGGCTAGACTTGATCCCCTTGGTCTTGTACTTGGTTCTATCCAATTTTTAGCTTCTAATTGGACATGATACCTAATTTTTTGAGCTAATGATATTCAAATAAAGAATATAAGTTTCTAGAACTTCTAATCTTAATTGGACTTGGAGTCTTTAATAGGAAATAAAATTTCAAATACTGAAGAACTCTTGACCTCAGTTTAAGGCCTGATAATTATAAAAAGGACTCAATTAACACACTGAACTATTGTCCAGCCCCATACCAACGAACTAACAATTACCAAAATAACTCCAAGTCCTAAAATTAAAGATAATACTAATAGCACATAACACCAGTAAAATAAAAAAAAGAGAAAAACTCTGCAACTTCCAGACTTTGAGAAAATAAGATAAAACCTAATAGCCCCTAATAAAATAAAACCATTTAGACCTAGAAAGTTCTTTCTCTGCAGTTCCTAAATCAATCTGACATTAAAAGACCATAAATATAAATATAAATCCTTTTTTTTATTTTTTTATTAGCATCAGTATGTTTTTCTTTTTTCTTCAATCAAAGGGGTCACTGTGTCAGATAATTGATGATGTGTCAGGTGGGGAAAGCAAATAATTAAATTTAACTGATGAGGTTTTCAGGTTAAGTATAAGAGTTTTGATGAGATTGATGAAGAAAAGGAATGGTGGAGGATCCCCTTTATCTCAGAACTTCTACGGAAAAATGGTTTTGAGTCTGCACTAAAAATGTTTGCTGGTTCTGAGAGTGTGCCAGCACGTCAGTTTGTAGAATATGCTTTTGGGCAGCTAAAGTCATTCAATGATACATACCTTTGGAAAGATGGATTGTTGAATGGCAATAAAAATGGTGTGGAAGGGAGTGGAGCACCCAAAGACCCTCCTGTTGCCACAAATATACCTCCAAAAATAGAGAGTACTTTAGAACAGCCTTCGAGTGACCCAGATTTCAACAATGAGAAAATTTTGGAGGAGTTTCACTTGGACAATGCTCAGTCAGACAAACACTTCTGGAGGGACTTTGCTTATGCTGTCAATCAAAATGTTGTTCAGAAACTTGGTATTACTGTTCCAGAGAAGCTTAAATGGGATGGATTTGATGTGTTAAACAAAATTGGCTTACAGTCCCAAAAGATTGCTGAAGCAGGCTATATTGAATCAGGGCTAGCTACTCGAGAAGGGCAAGATGTTGATAATGATAAAGCAAGTGGTTCACTTACCATTAAAGCTATTCAGTCTTCACTTCCAGATATAAAGAAGGCAAAACAAGATTTGTTAAGGCAAACTGAGTCTGTTTTAGGAGCATTAATGGTTTTGACTGCAGCAGTCTCTCAGTTAAACAAAGAAGGACGTAAGAATGGATCCAAAGAAGACTCTTCTACCAAAATTGAAAGTTCAATCTCTAAGTATATGGGGAATGAGAAGCTTCCTAGCTCAGTGGATAGTTCAGTATCTGAGGAGAAAAAGACTGAAGAGATGAAGGCACTCTTTTCAACTGCAGAAAGTGCCATGGAGGCTTGGGCAATGCTTGCTACTTCACTTGGCCATCCTAGTTTTATTAAGTCCGAATTTGAGAAAATATGTTTTCTAGATAATGCAACCACAGATACACAGGTGTGTTTTTATCTTAGAAGAAATGAGTTTACCTTTCTTTTCTTTTAATTAGTTAATTTTTGTAATTCATGCATCCTCTATGTTGCAGCATTGCTATTTCATTTTAGGGATTATTTTGTCAGTCACTAAGTTATAAGAGGCTGCAGGTTGCAATTTGGCGTGATTTGCCAAGGAGGCGATTAGTTGTTGCCTTCAGGGGTACCGAACAAGTAGGCCTCTTTTCTATTCTCAGCATATGGTTAAGTGTTTTTCACTCCAACTTACTAATTTATTGATCATCCAGGCAAGATGGAAGGACTTGCGGACTGATTTGATGTTGGTTCCTGCTGGGTAATCTTAAACATTTATCCACCTTTGTTTTCGAGATTTTATTTTCCATTGCTCTCTTGAATGTGGTGGGTGTAAGGTGAAACTGTAGGTCTGCCCATGTACAGTATGAATGGGAATACTATTTCTAAGTGCACCTATCTCCTTATCATATTTTAGGGGAAAATAGCACAATAACAAATGAAGTTTTAGAAGAGCAGACTATGCTTTATGCCTAAAATTTCTTTTAGAGTAGAACTTAAATTATAGAGATTATGACATTGCATCAGTAAATTTGTCAGATTCCAGGCACAATTTTTAATTATGGCTTACTTCTTCCCCATGCTCTTTTGAGTTGTTCTGAAATTCAGCATTGCATGATATCTTATATTCAGTTATGCCCCATTTCAGTAGTTAATTGGTCATTCTTTCAAAACATGAACTCATGTTTACCTTTCATTATTTCAAAGTTACAAAACATAGTTGCTTCTTTTACTAGCCTATTCCATTTATGTAGGCTAAACCCTGAAAGGATTGGTGGAGACTTCAAGCAAGAAGTCCAAGTATGCAAATAATTCATGGTTTTTTTTTCATAAAAAAATTATATGAGATGGATAGAAATAGATTATTGGCAGCGACAATTTATTTTACTTGTTTGAATAGTTAGTCCATGCTACTTTTACATCAGGTTCATGGTGGATTTTTAAGTGCATATGATTCAGTTCGAATAAGGATTATCTCCCTCGTCAAGCTGGCAATTGGTTATATGTAAGTTCTTTTGTGCATTTTCTTCATGGTGCCTAACTTGGTTATGATTCAAATCACTTACATGTCAAAATAAAAAATGAATGTGATGTGTTATCGTTTTCATAAGATGGTAACTTTTAATGCTATGGCAGCAAAACTAAAATCAACTGATAATAAGTGGAGAGGAACAAGTTGAATAAAAGGGCATAACAAACTATGGGCGATATGGCTGCCACAGTGCTACCTAACACCTTTCCTATGTAGGCCTGACAGAACAACCATTAGAAACAAACTCATAACATCTACCATGAAAATGGGGTGATAGACAAAAATAAGGAAACAAGAACTGAGGGCATAATTGGGTGATAGAGACCATAAATTGGTTTTAGGTCAGATGTCTTTACATTTACCAATTCCTAAAATCTTGTGAAAGTTTTTATTTAGTTTCAAGTTGTAAATTAGGTTTAGCATACTTCCAATCTCTTCCAGAAATCCTAAATGATTTCCAGTACATTCTGATGTTATTAGATACAGGAACCAATACATTTTGTTTAAATAAGTGGCACTAGAACTGCATGTTTTTACTTCTGGTTGCACTCAGGTTCATCTAGTATATATTCTGATACCATATTGATGTATAAACTCTCTCCAAACCAAGCAATGTCCTTTAATGTTTTGTAATAGTTATTTCAGTATAACCTTCAAAATATTCTCTTGCAAGTGTTCCTACATCTCATTTTTCTTGCTGTAGCCAATCTTTTCATGTTTCCTTTTTCTTTTTGGTAAACTTTTCATGCTTTCTTTGATGGAATGGAAATGCTACTTGTGTAACTAAATGGATATTTTTGTTGTTGTTTTGTGGTAGAGATGAAATTGCAGAACCTTTGCACAAATGGCATGTTTATGTAACCGGTCACAGTTTAGGTGGTGCACTTGCCACCCTTCTTGCCCTTGAACTTTCTTCAAGTCAATTAGCCAAGTATGTTCTTTCTCCTCATACTGAAGCCTTAAGTAAAGCAATTCTCCATTTGTTCTCATTTCTAAAAATACTTTTATATTAGGAAAATTGCAAAGGAATGATATTTGTTGTTATTTTATGAGAAAACCTAAGGTTTGGTTGAGTTGTGAGAACTAAACCTATGTTGACCTAAAACTAGTAGTTGACTTTTTAGTAACTTAATGAGGTATGGTTTTGATGTTTTATCCTGATTAAATGCCTCATCAATATGAGCTGGTGCAACTCAGATTTATTTTAAAGATTGAAAAGAACTTGAGGTCACAGTTTACATTTTGTAATAATCACAATCCTTTATAAGTGAATATCTCTGGTCCTAATGTTTTTTGAACAGTGATTGACCGTAGAATTGTGTATTGAATTTTTTATTACTTGTGTTAGGCGTCAATTGATTTCGATAACCATGTATAATTTTGGCTCTCCGAGGGTTGGCAACAAAAGATTTGTGGAAGTTTATAATGAGGTGATAAAGTTTTTTTATTGGTATATCATACCATAATAGATGCATCTTCAGTGATTATTTTATGTAACCTTGAGACCTCATGCCTGCAGAAAGTTAAAGATAGCTGGAGAGTTGTTAACCACAGAGACATCATACCAACTGTCCCTAGGTTAATGGGTTACTGCCATGTGGCACAGCCTATCTATCTAGCTGCTGGAGGATTAAGAGATGCATTGGTGGGTTATTTATTTTATTTATCACTTTGTCAGTTTTATTTTATAATTTTGAAGCTTTGAGATTTACTGCGAGGTACAGCGTGTGAGTGGTTGGTGACTTGGTGGTATCTACTTTCATGCTGGGTCTTGAGTGAATGAACAGCACATCTCATGAAACTTAAAAACAAGCTGATTGTGATGTTAATTAATGCGGGGTTACTTATTAATTTGACTTCTGCATCTTTGCTTGTTCTTTTCTATTTTTATTTTTAGTTCAGGATTTTCTCATATATAAACCTTTTTCCATGTGCAGCTCTATTAACTGCCAAACTTGTATGTTGATGGTTGTTGGATAAATAAAATCATCCACATTTTTATCCAAAAAAAACATTTTTCCATGTGAACAATCAAGGATTAAAAAAAAAAAAAGTATTTGCTCCCCTCATCCACACTGAGATTCTTACATGTATCACTTTTTTTTTTGAAAAGATCTGTTAATGAATTAAATACCGATCTGTTTTGGGTAGTAGGGACACAAATTCTTTTACGTGATTGGAACGAAATGTTGTTGTTCATAATGTTTTATTCCAAACAATTACTAAAATACCATCCATAAGTTTTATAATTGAAATTGTGTATTTCAGGAAACTATGGAGGTCTGGAAGGATGGTTATCAGGGTGATGTGATTGGAGAGTACACACCAGACGTTCTTGTTGGTGAATTTGTATGTTACTTGTCACCTAATATTTTGTCTCTTGCCTCATTAAGAACATGAAGCGGTTTTAAGTACATAATATGTGTAAACATCACTAATGCCATTTTACCTGAATGATGCCTTTCATTCTCGATACATCTTTTGACATTGTATGATGTTTATCTGTTTACTTTTTAATATATGTGATTGCACAAGGACACTATGTATTTTATCTGCTGATTAAATTGTTAGGCTATATTTCCTTTTTATGGGAGTTAATGTCCATTTATAAATTATGCTTTTGGTTTCTGTACTCACGTTTGAGAACATTATATACAGATGAAAGGTGAGAAGGAACTTATTGAAAAGATACTGCAAACTGAAATAAATATTTTCCGTGCAATTCGAGATGGAAGTGCCCTTATGCAGCATATGGAGGACTTCTATTACATCTCATTGCTAGAGGTACATGTTACTGGGCAAAATAATTTGGTATTATGTTTTATTGTCTTCACGTAGACTGATTTCTGATTGCTAGAATCAATTCTTTCTGTTCTAAGCTTTTAGAGTAATCAAACTGTAAATCGTAACTTATGCTAGTTTCTTATCATTCCCATTCCTGCCTTGATATTCAATTAATACTGCTCTTTTTTGTTCAAACTGAAATTTTAATTGCTTTCTTCAGAACGTGAGATTTAACTACCAAACTGTTGCAAGCTCAGAAACTGGAGAACAAGGTAACATTTCAATCAGCTAACACAAATAAACCAGCTCCCAAGGAATGTTAGCATCTGATATATAGCAGCCAAGGCTGACATACATCCCTTATGGTAAGCATCTGAGGCCTCTTATCAGGCAATCAGGCATTGTGCTGGTGATCAAGCTTATGTACCTGTACAATCCTTAATTTTTCTCTAAACTTTATATAGTGAAACTTCATTGGATACAATGAAGGAGTCTAAAATCTCCAGTTTCTTTACGGATTTGAGCTATAAATTTTTTGCATTTTGTTTAGCTGCTCTGTATTTAACTGTCACATTACTTTTTGAATGTGGTCATGGATCATTTTCTTAATCCTCTGTTATCCTACTTTTTGAATGTGGCTTTGATTTGACTCAAAATCACTTAATCAAGTGAACTCCTTAAATTGTGAAACCCGTCACCTTAATTACCCTTTCAAATGGTTAACCTTTTTTGATTGAGTGGGATATGTGAATGAATAAGTATTTATACAAGGACCATTTGTTTGGATAAAAATTAATAAAAGAAGGGAAGGGAGAGGAAGGGAAAGTGATGTTAATTGTATTTGGATTGATGAAAGTCAAGGAAAATGAAGGTTGATATTGTTATTTAATTACATAATTTAAAGAAAAACACAATAAAATATTAAAAATTTACTAATTAAAAAAATAATTGAAATAAAGTATTCTTATATATTTATATTTTTTGAAAACTTAAAACAGAAAAAAAAAAAAAAAAAAAAACTGTAAACTAAATCATTCGCAATTTATCCAATTTGAAGAGAAACAAAGAATTATGGAGGGTGTTCCATAACGCTTATATCTTTCTCTATTAAAGAGAGATATCTTTCTCTTTAACTCTCTTAATCCAAACACGTTGTTAATAATCACTTTGTATAAAAATATTGTACAGCAATACTTGAAGCATTACCTTCTGTTAAACTATGAACCAAATACTTGACTAGTACTCCAATTCTTTCATTAGACTATTTTATGGTTTAACTACTTGAACCGGAAATATAAGTTAGCTACTAATTAGTAATTTATGTTGAAACAAAAATTAATTAATTAATTAATTAATTTGTACTGCATAAAGAAATATAATTAACCATGCCCTTAATAAGTTGCATTAACTTATAAGAGCTTAAAATTCTCTATAAGATAGCAGTGATGCCTCTAGCTTGATGACAAAGATTGAGACCCATAATCTTAAGATTTTGAATTTGTTATAACTTGTATATGAAGTAAATGCATATCAATTCCGACTCTCAACAAAATTTGAGTCTTAACTTATATTTAGAAACAGAAATTTTAATTAAAATTTAAAAATCAAATCAGTTTTTAAATCTAAATATCAATATTTAATAACATAAATTTTAAAATTTTAAACTCAGTTTTAATTAAATAAAATGACATAATTTAAGGTTGAACTCTAATTTTTTTGGAAGTAGAAACTGATCTATAATTAAAAACTGAAATTTGAATTCAAAATTTAAAAATCCAATAAGTTTTCAAATTTAAATATTAATATTTAATAACATAAATATTTAAATTTTAATTAAATAAAACGACATAATTTAAAGTT